ATTAACTTCTGTTTCCTTTAATTCTTTCTCTGACAAACATCAGAAGCTTTTTTTCAGACAGTGCACCAAAGCCACCTATAAAGTTGCTTTCATGCTCCGTCAGCATTGAACGTCAACTTTCCTGCCATAGGATTTAAAATCAAATAAGTTTTCTAAAAATGTCTCCCATGACCCATAAAGGTGTTTAAAATTTCATAAGACTTGAGGCACGCTCCAGATATTAGAACTTCCAAATGTCAAATTAAAGAGGAGAAGGTAATTGGATAATAACATTACTCCCTTGAAAATAGAGAAACCCACTTTAGGAGTAGTGTCATTCCAAATGATGCCACCATGTTCTAGATCTCTTAGCCATCTCACAGTGAAAAAATAGGTGATTTACTGTTTTCTCCTTTTATTCACACATGAAATGGCAGAGTTGCTCCATATGATACTCCAACTGAAAGCTCAAAAATGACAATTTTTCTTTGTCCATTCTACAAAGATTAATATTTTTCCAACTACAGCAAAGAAAAAATGCTCTGTAAACACCAAAAAGTCACCAAATGTTGCCACGATTTGTTAAAAGCAATCATTGTTATACTCATGAATCAGCGAAAGACAAAGTCCATTGAACTATTCTAAGAAACCTCAATTACATCCTTGAGATATGAGCATGAGAAAACGTTAAGCTTGAAATAACACATAGAAAACGTAAAAAGGCAATTTACAGAATGTACAAGACAAAGAGACTTTGAACGGCTATATTGCATATGGTCACCAGCTACGTTAGCTAAGCTTCTCTTTATGCTATTACCACCCTTCACTGTACATAAATACAAACCAAAAGTTAAATATGATGGTATGGAAGGAACCTCCCAATTACAAAAACTTGTAAAAGAAATTTGATGGATGGACCCATATTTTCCATTAATGCTTAAGTGAGAGGAGGCAAATTCTTGCCATTTTAGCCTGGAAAATCAATCTGGAAGAAGCTTAACGCAAATGAATCACTGACTTCAAGACGAAGAACATATTAATAATAAAAACATAGAAAAACACCACCTCAAATGAAAAATAGGGAGAAATATTTTTCACATAGAAAGTATATTGGTAACAGTAATACATAAGAAATCAAAAGAAGTCCAAGCTTGTAAAATTCGAATTCCAAAGGAAAATTAATAAGGTGGATGCGAGTTTTGTATCATTAGTACTTTTTAAAGTATTTTCCATATCAATATGCTCCTCAAGTTTTCTCAAATGAATTATTTAAATTTATAAGAATAAAAATGGGTCCAATAACGGTAGTGGACAAAGCCACACCTGATGATTCGTGCACTCTTACTATTCTGCAATTTCAAAGAAAAAGGGTAGAACAGTCTACCAAACAAAGCAAAAAAAGAATATATCAATAACATGTAACTGAAAATCATACCTTGCAGCTTAAGTGTGTGGACGATGATAACACCAAATGGTGGCCTTAAGTCTTGAATAATGGCCCCAGAGTGATCAAAGTAAGATAAATTTGGCCTTCTTCTGGAAGATTCCTTGCTCAAAGGCTCCTAGAGATTTCACTGTCTGCAGCCAAAATAGGAGGAGGACACAACGATATACTCCCAATAAGGTGACTTAGACATATCATCAAATACCATGGCTACAAGGTCCACATAAAAATTACAGTTACTTCTGATACCTTGAATTTTTGGTAACAAAGACAAAATACATCAAAAAGACAATGCATGTGTAAATCAGGTACGATTACTAACATGCAATAGAAATTATCTAAAAACTATATTCAAAAGAATTATCAATAGCAATACCGCAAGACCGTGAAAACCGAATCAGTGCTCATCGGAGTCGTCCTGAATCTTGGAGGTGCGATCCACAAGTGTGTGCAGACCAATTTTTCAAAAACAGCATGTAGCATCTCTTTTTCTGAGAGAAAAGTAACAGAAACAGAAACCATAGAGTAAGAAGAAAGAAAGAGATCGGGAAATAGAGGACAAGTATAGGCCAGATGTCCCAAATAAGTAGACATGGGTCGTCCCAAAGAAGAGAAATATATGACTGCAACTGAATTAGAATCGCTTATCCCCACCAAAGGATAAATAAATTCAATCACCAATGACAAAGGTCCAAATCCACAGTACAATCTCGATTACTATGTGTACAATAATTTAATACAGTGTTCGTACACCCTGCTCTCACTTATACATATAAAAAAAATATACCAAGTATTTCATCAATCTCAATTTTTTATTTATCAAAGCCAAACTTGATTAATCAAAATATGTGCATTTAACCAAACAAATATGAACCTGTATGATTGGATTTATGCGTTTCTCTCCAAGCTACGCTTTTGTTCCTCTTGTAACTTACTTACTGCTTTATTGCTGAAAATAGAAACTCAAACATGAGGCTGAGGCACTTTAATGCTTTCAAGGCTTGTTGGTACATGAAAATTGTTAACATGGAAAAGGGAAGAATCATTCTTATACTTAACACTATAAAATTAACTATTTCTAATTAATTTTATTAGTAAATTAACTATTTTTAATTAAGTTTATTAGTGCTTAACACAAATAGGTGGAACTTTTATTCGAACATGAAGAGTTAACAACCATTTATCAAAGCCACGGGAATCACACATAGGATATAAAAGAACAGATACAAATATACTTTAACCAACCATTTATCTTAGACTTAAGTACTTGTATAACCACACATCGTTTTTTCTATGAATTCAAAGAAAAAGCTCTAGTTCCAAAGTATTACGCAAAAAACAATCAAAGAACCAGAAATTGACTATGTTTCCCTCAAAAGAAATTGAAAACTTAGAATCAAATCTTTGGGAAGAATTCTTTAGGAGATACGAAGCTTAAAACAAAAAGTAAAACTGAAGCTTATGCACCTTTTTCATCTACTATTGTATTTAACTAAATGGAATCGTCATGAATTTCTTATTTCTTGGTCATTGGCAGATTCGATATGACATTAGAGCATGTATCCTTTTCAAGGGATGTATCCTTTTCACTTGTTTTACAATTTCACTGACCAATCAAATTGTTAAAATTGTTAAGTTGTTGCAGGCATAACATCGAGCGCCTTAGTTGCATCGTGGTTGTAGTCTAAATCCACCATGTTAAGTAAGCAAATTTATACTTGTCTCTCTTCTTCTTGTTGTTCTTCTTTTGTTACTTCCCTCTTCCAACTCCTCAATTTTGCTTAGCTTTATTAATAATATCAATAATTCCCACTAAAATCAGCAATTGATAAATATAACCATAAAAATCTTAGTTTCAACTTTAGACCAAATCTAAAATCCCTCAATGTAAATAGAACTTAAACAAAATTTAGGGCATTATATTAGATGATCTCAATTGAGATATTTCAAACTCACTAATCAAAGATTGAACAGATAGCTTAAATGATTATGGACGCGCCGAGTTACAGAACTCAAACAACACGACACAATTCAGACCACATAAAAGAAAAATACACCTAAACTAATAACAAACTATAGTAACGACACATAGAGAACCAGCCGAAATGAAAAAAAACAAAAACAAAGCTGGATGGGATGAAGAGAGCGAATGGAAGAAGAAGGTGAAGAGAGGAAAGGAATGCAACATAAAAAACATGCGTAGCCTCCACTGCACTGAAATATTGCTTACCAACTTAATGGAGAGACATGAAATTTGAGAGAAATATATTATCTTAAATGCTAAAGGCATAGACCGGACATCACTCTCCAATCTACAGTATAGTATTAGATTGTGGTCATTTCGTTCCAATACTATACAATTTGGTGAACATCTATAATTTGGTAGAATTTTGAAAAGCTATAATTTATATAAGCTAATGCAAAGTTTGAGAAATAGTAGCATAGTGCAATAGAAATACACATGCAAGAGCATATACAATACGTCAACAATATATATCGTACATACACATACAAATAGTACTGTCCAAGAAGTAGATAGTGTACATTTTGGATTGCTGATGAGAGGTATGTTGCAAGACCTGCAAAAGAAGAAAAAGTATTTTAAAAAAATCAGTAGTGTTACCCATTAAAATGAATACTACCAAAAATACTCGTGAGGATGAAAATGGAAAACAGAAGAAAAGAGTTTACTCATCTCAAAAAAGAAGAAAAGAATTTACTTTCCAAAAACCATTGCCTAAGTATGAAAGAAAAAAATAAACTAAGAAAAGCGCATAATATAAGCATACCTTCACTTAAAATGTACTATCAATCTCTGAAATTCACCCTCACAACAGTAACAGTATTGGACATTCAATTATTTGAGCATCACTTGACCCATCAACAAAGAGATAAAGAACAGAACATCACTGAAAGTTCAAAAAATAATTAGATTTAATTACCCAAGATACCAGATTTCATCAAATATCCAACATAATGCATCGACGTATCTATTTTCAAACATGCATATGCAAATCAGATACAATCATTGATATTCGTGTGTAAAAGTCCCACAAAAACTATGCAAAAGAAAGGGAGAAAAAATCAATAGATACCACTAAAGTTCCAAGAAGAAACATAGCAAATTTAGAATCAAATGGAAAAGCCTTGAAAGTAAGCAGACACCAAAGAAGAGCTTACCAAGGTGCGATCCACAGCTGCAGGCTAATTTGGAACAAAGAGGATTCAATAACTTTGCAGAGAATTTAGTGAGAGAGGGAAAGAGGAACAAAGAAAAGTATAATGGGAGAAGAAGGTGATGGGAATTGGGATTCGATGATGACCAAGAAGGATTGTTTACACGTGCTTATAGAAAGACGGTACACGTATTGAGATGGAGCTAAATTACGAATTTAACCTTCAAAGAATCTATAATTTCGAATATACAACTTTCCATGCTTTTTGTACGGTCATGTTCGTCCCACCTCACTCCCGTTTCTATATAGTAGAAAAATATGAATATGAATTGGGATATAAACACGAGGAATTAAAAATATTTATAGTACAAAGTATAGGTGTTAAACGGGCCGGGTCAGCCCGGTTCTGGACTGGCCCAGACAGGATAAAATCGAAATCGGACCGGACCGGTTAAAGGGGGCTGGGTTAGGAGGGACACACGGGTTACACCGTTCACATTTTAAATACCGGTTATCCGGACCGGTACAACCCATTATATGAACAGTGTCGTTAAACCGGTTAACCGGCCCGAACCGGTTTAACGGTAAAAAAAAAATTAATTTATTTTTAAAAATTTGGGCCCAAATCTGACCATTGGCAACGGTCCATTTCAGAAAATGGTCGTTGCCCAACGCGTGAATTGCATAATTAGCCTAATTTTGGGTTTCTTTTTTTTTAAAAAAATTAACTTCCCTTTCAAAAACTATAAATATCCCCCCTCCTCTCTTCCTCATTTTTTTCACTCATTTCTCAATTCTCAATCTCAATTCTCATATTCTCTCATTCTTCAATCTTCATTCTTCACCTATTAAAGTGCAATAAACTATTTAGCTATTTTTTTTGGGAATTTAATTTATCGTATTATTTATTTTTTGAAGTTTGAACAATTGAACTTCAAAATTGGAACAATTGACGTTTCTTCGTGGTAACATTGGAGTTGCGAAATCATCAAGTGCTCAAGTTATTGCCGAATTTGGTGCACTCCCTCCAACTCTTTCTCTTATTTGCTATTTTATTTGTTTTGTTGCTAGTAGTTAAATTTTCACAATATGTTTAATGCTGCAAAAAGAGTTTGTAACAAGGTTACTAATCGGGGAAATAAAAAAAGAGGTAGTACTTCAACTTCAGCATCTGGTAGTAATTTAAATACCTCTCCAAATATTCCTGAAACATTACCTGATAATAATATAGATTATGAACAATTGCAGGAAGATTTTGGTATAGATGATAATGAATTAGAAATGGAAGATTAGATACCACTTACACCTAGTAGTGTTGTAGCTGCTAGCAGGGGTGGTGGTCGTGGTGCTAGTAGTAGACCACCTGTGGCCCCGACTAGTAATCGTAGAAATAGAAGTAAGGTTTGGAAATTTTTTGAGGAAATAGAAGGTACTGGTAGAGTTAAATGCAAACTTTGTAATGATACTTTTACACATAAGATTGGGGGACAATTAGGGGGGACTGGGACACTTAGTAGGCATATGAGAATTGAGCATCCTATAGAATGAGGATCTGATGGAGATGGAAATCAATCAACTCTAAACCCTACTATTGATGGTCTTGTGAAATATGATAAAATAAAGGATGATGAGGAGTTAGCAAAAATAATTGCTTTGGGTTGTCTAACTTTTTCTTTTGCTTCTTCATCATATCTTATTATGTATATTCAAAGGATTTACAATCCTTTATTTAAAGGTATCCCTAGAAGTACTTGTAGAGCTGATATCTTTAGACTTCATGGACAATATCAAACATACATACGTTATTTGTTTAGCCACCTTCCTTGTATAGTTTCTCTAACTTGTGATATTGGTCATGCTGTTAATGGAAATGATTATTTGACAATTACATGTCATTGGATAGATGATACTACTTGTATGCAAAAATGTATTATCACTTTTAGATATGATGAAGATCAGAGTCATACTGCCGCGTTTATAAGTAGTACTATTTGTGAAGTTGTTGAATTTTATAATCTCAAGCAAAAAGTATTGTGTATGTCTTTTGATAATGCTTCTAACAATAATGCCGCAATTTCAATATTATAACTGCATTTGAAACCACCTCTTGATGAAATTTTCATGTTAGGTGTGCATGTCATGTTTATAATTTAATTGTTAAAAGTGGCCTTGATTTATTTTCAACTGAGATTACTCATGTTAGAAGAGCAGTTGATGTTATTCAAGAAAATAATAGACAATCTATAATAAAGGAATTTAAGAATAAGTGTGTCCAGTATAACCTTAAACCCAGATTCATGCAAGACGAAATTGTTACTAGATGGAATTATACATATATATTTTTAAAATGTTGCTACAAATATAGATTCCCAATAACTGAAGTTGCTAATGCGCATTGTACTGATCCAAACCGTATGTTAACAACTACTACTTGGGAGGTCATTAATGATGTTGTTAAATTTTTACATAAATTTTATACAGCTACTGTTGAGTTTTCTGGAGCATATTACCCTACTGTTACTATGGCTTTAGTACATATAGCTGAAATTTCTTTTCTACTCTTTGAATTTAAGAAGAAAGAAAAATATAGGGTTGTCGTTGAAAAAAATGCAAGCAAAATTCAAAAAATATTTCTTTCCAATTCCTTCGATTTACTTAATTGGTGCTGTTTTAAATCTTTCTATTAAGATGTCTGATTGTCACCAATTAATGAATGCTTTATATACTTATAGGGAGATTGGATCAACTGAAACCCCAGATTTATATACTTGTATGAACAAGCTAAATGAATATTTACAACAATTATATAATTATTATGCAAATGTAATTGATGTTGCTACTCTTAATGTAGGCAACATTAATCCCACTATGCACTGTACTTCTTTTGCTACTGTGGATGATGAAGAAGGCCTTGATAGTTTTAATATTTTTTCCACATTTTCTAACATTCAAACCAGTAGCAGGAACATTGATGAACTTCAATTCTACTTGCAGAAGCAAAACGAGCCTCACACAAAGGAATTTTCACCGTTGGGATGGTGGCATGAGAATGGAAAGCAATTTCTTGTTCTTTTCGCTATGGCTGGGGACGTGCTGAATGTGCCAATTTCAACTGTTGCATCAGAGAGTGCATTTAGCCAAGCAAGACAACAACTTAGAGACACCCGTCACTCATTGGGAAGCAATGCTTTTGAAGTTTTAGTATGTTTCAGAGATTGGATTAGATCGGAACGAAGAAATCAAGGACGTGAAGATGTTGATAGCCCAGAAGACGAGGAACTTGGAGATATATTAACGCATGGTAACCCATCCGAATTTAATNGGAGATATATTAACACATGGTAACCCATCCGAATTTAATACTCCAGAAGAAGGTCACTCAGTTCATATTGATTATGAAGAACTTACTAAGGCAATGCAAAACCTTTCAATTTACTCTTTTTTGGTTAATTTACTTGTTGTTAAATGTAAACCTTTCATTTTGTAAGTTTGAATTTTGAAATAAATGTAGCATTTGTAATTTATAAGTGCAATTTTTTCCCATCTTCCTTGTATTCTTTATATTAATACAAAGTATTAATATAACTTACAATAGTTATACAAAATACAAAAAAAATTAAAAA